AAGCATCATTTATCCTTCTCAAAACCCAATTACTTCCCTTGAGCTAAAATGTCATGATCATTGGACAAGAGCACAGGAGGCGGAAAGAAACTTTTTATCTCAAGACAAGAGATTGCAAGCATGAGACAAAGAACAGTGGAAGCAGTAATTGAACTTGAGCTTCTAGATGATGATCCAGATGGAGCAGTTTTCAGGGAGCAGTTGCTCTGGGCGTGGGGTGCTGTGTCTTCTGAGATGGGAGGGTCTCAGTGCCCCTCCTGTCAGACAAATCTGGTGTTTCCAATAGATTCAAATGGGAAGTTCAGGACAAGAAGACATGTACTTCCTCCCTGTATCAGAGAGAGTTCTGCAGAGAAACACAACCAGTAGGCTACCTATGCATACATATATAAAGAGTTATCTCAAGGAATTGGCTTCTATGACTTTGAGTGCTGGCAAGTCTGAAATGTGTAAGGCAGGCATGCAGGCTGAAAACTCTCAGGCAGGGGCTGAAACTATAATCCATAGACTGACTATAAATGTAGTCTTCTTCCTCAGGAAAACCTAGGTGTTTCTCTTAAGGCCCTTCAATTAATTGGATGATCATTGAGGATAATCTCCTTTACTTAAGGTCAACTGATTATAGAGGTTAACCACATCCACAAAACACCTCACAGCAACACCTAGATTAGTGTTTGATTGAATAACTGGGTACTATAGCCTAGCCAGGTTGACACATAAAACTAACCCCTCTGTTCCATGAAGACTGGATGAACCTCCCCCCCTCCTCCCCAGGTGGCTTTCCACCAAGAAGTTGTTGTGCTCCTTATCCTCACTCAAGGGCTGGGTTTTTCTCTGGACACTCCCATCCCACCTTCTGGGCTCATTGAGCCTCTGCATAACCCTTCTACTCAAACTCCTGAAACACGAAGGACCTTAGACCATCTCACTTAGTTTTTCTTCAAAATTATTTTTGAATTATCTACAATTTTTTAAGTTTAAACAACTTTTTACAACCCAACAATAAAAAACAAATAATCCAATTAAAAGTGGACAAAAAGTTAGAATCAACGTGTCTTTAAAGAAGATGTACAAATGGCTACTAAGCACATGAAAAGATCCTCAACATCATTGGCCATTAAGGAAATAATCAAAAAGATGGACAGTAACAACATTGGTGAGGATGCAGAAAAATTGGAACTCTCACAGGCTGCTGATGGGATTATAAAATGGTGGAGCCACTTTGGAAAATAGTTTGACAGTTCCACAAAATGTTAATCATAGAGTTACCATATGACCCAGCAATATCACACCCAAGAGAAATAAAAACATATATCCACACAAAAATTCTCACAATGTTCTTAGCAGCATTATTTATAATAGCTAAAAAGTGGAAACTACCCAAATGTCCATCAACTGATGGATAAATAAAATATGGTATATCCACACAATGGAATATTAGTTGTCGATGAAAGGGAATGAAGTACTGATTCATGCTGTAACATGGGTGAACCTTGAAAACATCATGTTAAGTGAAAGAAGCCCATTACAAAAGGCCACATATTGCATGACTCCGTTTATATGAAATGTCCAGAATAGGCAAATCCATAGAGACCAGGTAGATAGTGGTTGTTGCCAGAAGTTGGGGGGAAAAGGGTTTGAGAGTGACTGCTAAAGGGTGTAGAGTTTCTCTTTGGGGTGATGAAAATGTCCTGAAATTAGATAGTGGTAATGGTTGCACAACTCTGAATATATTAGAACGCTGAATTGTACACTTTAAAAGACTGAGGAGTGCCTGGGTGGTGCAGTCCGTTAAGCATTCGACTCTTGGTTTCGGCTCAGGTCATGATCTCAGGGTCATGGGATCAGGTTTTGCATTGGCTCCCACTCAGCCCTGAGTCTGCTTGAGTTTCTCTCTCCCTCTCCCTCTGCCCCTCTGGCTCATTCTCTTTCAAATAAATAAATAAATAAATATTTAAAAATAAAATAAAATGGGGTGCCTGAATGGCTCAGGCGTTAAGCGTCTGCCTTCGGCTCAGGTCATGATCCCAGGGTCCTGATATCGAGCCCCACATCAGTCTTCCTGCTCAGCGGGAAGCCTGCTTCTCCCTCTCCCACTCGCCCTGCCTGTGTTCCCTCTCTCTGTGTGTATCTCTGTGTCAAATAAATAAATAAAATCTTAAAAAAAAAATTAAAAAAATACTGAATTTTATGGTATGTATGTCACTAAATGATTATTAAAAAACCTTTTACATAACTGGTTTTTACTTTTGCTCAAATTGCACCTTAATATAAATTTCAGAACTTTAAACTAGAGATAGCATGTTATTCTCATTATGTTACACTCTAGAAAATGTAGGTAGCAAATTTTAATTTGATAAGCCAGTCCACTATTCTCTAAACAATATATTGTATGAGCTGTTCATCCACTAGAGACATTTGAAATAGCAAAATGCTTTTTTTTCCTCTGCCAATGGTTCTATGCACTAGTTACAGGAGAAACCTGAAAGTTACTTGTTAGCTTGTTGGTCTCAATATATTTTAGTTGATTAAACAAACCAGCTCTCAAAGCCAAGACTTTGGGAGCTGGGATTCCTGCTATGCTTTCAGAGTCTCTCACCTGTCAACCTACACTCTTTCCAATGGTCTACACAGCTCTGGAAATTAGAAGACAAACTCAGCAGTAATTGTCGTGGCTTCAAGGTCTACGAACTCCCAGGAATTATATGCAAAATGTGATACGTGTGTGCATTTTTTCCCTGGGCAGAGTCTATACCTCTTATCAGCTTTTCAAAGAGGGTCATGGACCCATATTTTAGAGACACAAGCCAGATGGGGTGGCATTTAGATTCTGTAACGGGATCTGTGGTTTTAGTTTACCATGTACCATTCCCTTTTTCCTTGACAGAGCACCCCCTCTTTGGGAGGTTGGTGGGGGTCCTCCCTCTGAATTCCACACTGCTGCTGGAGAATCTTCCGTTTTTCATCTAGTTACTAAATCCAGAGAGTGTCATCTAGAACCTGTCTGCACTGCTCCCCCCACTTCCTCCTTCTCCTTCCCCTCTTTACCTCCCTTGCCTCCCTTCTTCCTTCCTTCCTTCTTCCCTTCCTTTCTTCCTCTCCTTCCTTCTCTTCCTTCCCCTCCTTACCGTCTTTCTGTCTTCCCTCCCTTCCTCCCTCTCTTCCTCCCTCCCTTCCTCCCTTGCGCTGTGAGGCGCCAATTTCAGCCAGAAGGCAAGGGTGGGACATTCCAGGGACAGAAAGGCACAGGGTCAGAAACAGCGTGGTTTGGGAGAGCTGGTGCCTGGGGCTGCAGAGAGACTGTGAGCTCAGCGGCTAATAGGATTGGCCATGGCGAATCCCCCAGCAAGGCACGCACTGCACGAAGAGGCGAAGCGCCAGGGTGACTCAGGGTCAGGATTACCGAAACTCCGAAGCTAGAGGGAAGCTTAAAGAGCCAGGCTGTGCTGCCAGGACTAGGGTGATGGCACTGTCCAGCCAGGCGGGAGAAGGCAGATTTAGACGCGCTCCGACCGAGGGAGGAGGACTAGACCTGCCCCTCCGCTCCGGGAATCTTAAAAAGATACCAGGCCAAGACCACCTCTGAGTCACGGATGATTTGTTATCCACTGAACTGAATGACAGGGTCCGCGGCCGATATAAGTCGGGAAGGTTGGGGAGTGCCGGAGAGAGGACGATTTTCTCTGGGATCTGTTTGCCTCCTCTTTGCCTCCCCCTTCCGGCTCCCACTTGGTAGCATCTTCCTGATCCCCTTATCTCTTAAGGCGCTCAGGGAAATGCTCCCTGCAGGAGCCATCTGGGAAATGCTACCCTGGCGGGCCAAAAACCATGAGTCCTGCAGCCCCGGTAAGGAACAGGTCTCTGGGACAGGAAGAAGGGCCCAAGGCAGGGTGGGTGCCCCTCTCAAATAGGGTTTGTGTCCAAGAGCCCTTCAGGCCCCCGACAGCCCCTGTTCTCTGAATGACATCCTGGGTCTGCTCTTAGCTGGGGGGGGGTGGGGGTGGGGGTGGTTATGGGTTTGAGCTCTTCAAGGAAGTGATCCTGGAGAGGCAGACCTGGTGGTAGATACAGAAACGGTCTTCTTTTTCCAGTCAGGCCTCTTCCAATCATTTTGAACTATGCCCTAAAGAGACCTTTTCAACCCACAAATCAGACCACCTAACTCTTGAAACCCCTACTCCGCAAGCTCCAGCCACTATGTCATAAGAACCAAGCAAGTCTTGAGCCTGTCATCCGAGGTTTCATGTTATGTCCTTGCAAACCCTGCAGCTTCATCCCCTGCCACTCCCCATGCCCTCCCCCCACCCACCCCGCACTCTATTTTCCAAACACACTGAAATACTGGGCACACTCTGAACTTCCTAATCAGTGCTCATATGATTCTCTTAGCTCTCCCCTGGGAAACTCCTACTCAACCCACAAGAACCCTTTTTAGCTTCCTTGGGCGGCCTTCCTGAACCTCTTGGGCAAAGTGAGACTCTTCTCTCCCGTTGTTAAATCATACGCTGCGCTCTAATTGTGTTTACATTTAGTCTCCCCCGCCAGACTGGAAGCTGGGGAAGGAAGGAGGAAAGGCCTTGTCGGATGCTCCTTTGTGCCCTCCACTAGCACCCAGTACAGTGCTAGGCACAAACTGAGTATTGAGAAAACATGACAAAACTAGGAGCCTGGCTCCTCCTTGTAACCTTACTTTTTTTAGAGAGTGAGTTAATGATTCCTAGGAAATGTATTTCATAATAAATGAGTGCACAAATGTTTAGCAAAATAAAATTACAGGTGTAGCTTCTCACCTGTGCTTCCGGTCCGCTCAGGGTTACCACCCAGGAGAGGCCTTGTCGAGCCCAGCTCTAGGGCTGCAGACTACAAGTCCCAGCAGCCTCGTGGGCGCGCATCTCTCCCCGCCCATCCCCTCCCTGGAGGTGGGGCGGGGCCAAAGGGCGGGGCCCAGGGGTAGCCTGGCCCAGGGCGCAGCCTGGGGGTTGAAATGCCCCAGGCGTTCTGGGGCACACAAAGCGCAGGCGCAGCAGCTTGGGGAGTAGCCGCCGCAGCAAGTAGCGGCCGTTTTGGCAGCAGCCTCCGCAAGAGGTGTGGACAGGTGGGTGCATCCAGGGGAGGCTGGAGAGGGAGTTTGCAACTGACCCTCTAGTCTGGCCAGTGTTAGGGCTTGGAGAAGGGAGGGAGCCGCAGGAGAAGCAGGGACAAAGTCGGGCCTTCCACTCAGGTGTGCCAGCCATTGCTTCGCAGCAACAGGTGTGAGCAGGTGGGGGCGGGGCAGAGGCACCTGCTCGCAAGTAAGTCGCCCTCAGGAACAGAGGGAACCTGGATTCCAGGCCAAGCTCCTTCACATACATGGACAAGTCATTTGCTGTCCCTCAGTTTGTCCATCTGAAAAATAGGAGGAAAGATTCTACCCATCAAATGGAGTTACAGTGGGGACAAGGTGAAGTAGCATAGTATGTGCAGCGATTTCCGAACTTTGCTGCACGTTAAAATCACCTGGGATCTTTAGAGACTACCAGTGCTCGCCTCCCAGCCCCAGACCTTCTGATCTCATTGGTATGGCATATAACCTGGGGATCGAGAGTTTTTAAAGCTCCTACTGGTGTAATGGTTAGAAACTGGGACTGCTGGGTGTGAGGGCTGCCTCCCCTGCTTACTAATTAGGGGGATCTGCATGAGTGATTGAACTTCTCGTTTTCTGGTAATAACAAGGATTTTTGTGAGGCTTCACCAAGATAAGAGATGCCAACACTGAGAAGCGTGCCTGGCACATAATGCTCAGGCAATCAGAGCTGCTTTTGAGCTATCATTTTACATACTTTGTAAATGCTTCAGGAGAGGTGCAAATGGGAGGGAGGCTTTTCTTATCATGAAAGTCCCTCATTCATTGCCATGGTTTTAATATTCTGTGCTGTCAGCATTTCGAAATTCCAGGGTTTCCAACACTGTAAGCATTCCTCACCCCAGCCTCTACCTGCCTGATAGACACACTTTCACAGATCTAGAAATGGAAGCCGGGCAGAAGGGACAAGGTCAAGGTTATAGAGCTGAGGTTGGAATCCAGGCTCCCGACCCCCACTCCCACCCTCGCACAATGGGTGGCTGCCCTGCTAACCCCACAAGAACAGTGCTCCCATTATCCTGCTGAAGCAGAGAAGGAGAAGGAGACAAGCAGGCTTGCCCTTGTTTGTTTGTGAACACTCCTGTAAACGTTTCCTCGGTGGCTCCCCCAGGGAGGACCAGCGAGGACAGGGCTGGGGCTTCTCTCCGGGAGCTGCTGATGAGGCCTGTGTGTCCTGTGGCTCTTCTCACAGGTTCCGCCTGACCCCATCCTGGAAAGTCCTTTTGAAGAAATGGCCCTGGTGAGGGGCGGCTGGCTGTGGAGACAGAGTGAGTGACCCTGGGCCAAATCCTTGTCTGTCTGTACCTTGTCCAGGGATGGGGGGAGGGAAGTGGCTTGTCAGATGTGCCCCAGTGAACCACTCTCCCAAGAAACAAGACCCTCATTCCCCCTCTCCTCCTTTGTCCAAACTCCTGCTCCTGCTTGGAATGCCCTCCCTGTTCCTGACTGCCTGGTAAAATGTCCCCTTCTGTGACGAGCCTTCTCTGACTTTTCCCCTAACCTCCGCTCCAGCCTCTGCTGTAGCACCAAGCTGGGTTAGAGCCCCCCACACTGTTCCCAACGCTTCATACATACCTCCATGATAGCACTGACCCCCTACAACAGAACCGCCTTTACCTATGGGTCTTACCACACCGCATACTGACCCCAGACTGTGAGCTGCTCAAGAGCAGGGGCCGGGTTTGATGCTCTGCAGATCCACAGCACCCTAGCCCAGTGCTGGCCACAGAACAAGGCTTAGAATAAAATGAAAACACCTCTGTGCTTTGGAATCTGTAAAGCCCTAAGAAGCTGCCTTATGTCTTTGCCCTTTGTGTTAAGATTTTCAATTGTAAAATGTCTGAAGGTAGAGCTCAGGCTTCCGGACCCACCTCTGGCCAGAATCGTGATGTGAATGAGAGCTATCCTAGGTTAGGAGCTCCCCAACGACCCATGACCACACTCAGTTCATTCAGTTCAGCAACCACCGAGCCCAGGTCCTGCTGGGTGCCAGGTCCAGTATAGGGAGCTGTGGGCCCCCCAGTCTGGTAGCTACACAAAAGACTGTCACACAAGTCAGAGATAAGAGATAAGATGGAGGTTCAGTGTAGGGAGAGGTCTTTGTCCTTGAAGAAACCTGGGGCTTGGCCTTGGAAGCCCCCAAGGAAGGAATCTGATTATTCATTTACCATTCAACACAGTTATGGGGTCTCTGTTATGTGTTAGGCCCAATGGGAGGCACTGGATGAGCAAGACAGAAAGAGCCCTGCCATCATTTCAGGAGGTAGATAGATAAGAAAGGGGTGGTCACAACACCGGGGGTTGGGGATAAGGGGATTCTGGGAGCCTGTCTAGGGCTCCCCCCGCCCCACCCCCCAGCAGGCTCTGCTGTCAGCCTGCATAGCAAAGGTGGAATATTGCACAGGCTCCATTCTCCGCCGCTGGAAGCGGAACTGGTTCGCCCTGTGGCTGGATGGGACCCTGGGCTACTACCATGATGAGACGGCGCAGGACGAGGAGGACCGCGTGCTCATCCAGTTCAACATCCGCGACATAAAGATTGGCCAAGAGTGCCACGGTAAGAAGCCATTTTCCCTCTGGCATTGCGACTATGGCCATGGTCCTCCCACTGTGTTACCCTCTGGTAACACCTGCCTCAGGCTCTTTGCAGCTTCAGAGGGCTTCCACAGACATTGCTTCTGGGCCTCTATCAACTCCAGCTCATGTGGGTGTGAATTAAAAAATGAGTTCCTTATTGAGTTCCTACCCTGTGCTGGGCCCGGGTCCTATGCTGGGATCACAGAGGTGAGTCCAACATAGTTCCTGCCCTCCAGCTGCCAGGAACAGGTTAAAGATGAAAAGAAATAAGGAGGATTAGAGAAGTTCAGTAACTGGCCCAGAGTCACACAGCAAATCTCCTCAGCCAAGACTCAGGCCACAATTATAACACGGTAATTGATAGATGTCTCTAACTAGGGCAATGGGCAATGTGGAAAGGTTGGAAGGCTCTAAAGAGTAAAGCAGAATCCCCAAAGAAATTGTGTGGGATCAGAGGAGGTTGGCAATGGCCAAGAAACAGGACCCAGAGGTCGGTTCCTATTCTTGTTACTGGTTCATTGGGAGACCTGGGCCTGTGCTTCGTGAAAAGCCCATATATGTGTGTTTGCCTTTAGATGTGCAGCCCCCAGAGGGCCGGAGCCGAGATGGCCTGCTGACCGTGAACCTACGGGAGGGCTCCCGCCTGCACTTGTGTGCAGAGACCAAGGATGATGCCATGTGAGTCCTCCAGGAGAGGATAGGGTGGAATCTTGGGGAATGTAACCAGATGCCTCCTCTTTGCTGGGCCTTCTGATTCCCAAAGGGTAGGAAGGGGGGGTAGACAAAGATTAGTCATCAGGGTGGAGGCTGGGCGGAGTGGATTTGAATGGCTGGTGGTGATTGGTAGGGTACCCAGGAAAGTCCTCACACAGAATGTGATGGAACTTGGGACTGTTGAGGGAGGAGTGTGCATACCTGCCCCAGGTGTGTGGTCCCTGATCATACAGAGTCTTGTATTTAGCCGGCTCGGAGATAAGCCCTCACTTGGGGGTGATACAAAGGAAGAGACAGCTCTGTGACATCCATAAAGGACCCTCCTTCCCACTATGTTCTGAGAAGATGCCTTGGCGGGTGGCCTTCAATCTGAGGCACAGACCCTGACCCGCCAAACAGAGGCAGCCCACTATGTTGGGGACACCCAATGTCAGCCCACTATGTTGCGGGGACACCCAATGTCAGATGCAGATCCACACTGTGAGACTGGGTGTGCCTGCTTCCTCACATTCTTTCCCTTCCTACCCTCTGGCCGAGAGTCAGTCAGCCTTTGCACTGTAGAGAGTGAAAGAGACGGGGTGTGTGGGAGTGGGGGAAGCTGAGCTCTGGGCAGACAAAGCACAGAGCCGCCTTGTCCACCCCAGCCAGGTGCCATGGCAACCAACAAAGGCCCGATTGTCCAGTGTCCACTGGGCCTTCACGGGCTCTGGGGTCAGAGTGTTGGGGGACTGTGTTGGTAGGTTTGGGGTGTGGAGGTGAGCTGCAGCGAGAGAACCAGCCCAGGCGTGACAGAATCTAAGGCCCCGAGGAGACCACCCAAGCCCAGCTGTCCATCGTCTAGACAGGGAAACTGGAAGAGGGGAAGACTGGGGGGCTAAGAGTGAATTAAGAGGCTCCAGCTCAAGTGAGGGCTCTGTCCGTGTGACTGGGGTGGGAGGGGGGGCCACCTTTGTCTACCCAAGGGAGTCATGGGGATCTCCACCCTTTACAAGAGACTGGGTTGAGGACGAAAGTAGGGGCCTACATGTAGGGGCCTAATCTCCCCCCTCCCTCCTCATGGTTGGTGGGTTCACTTTGCAGAGCGTGGAAGACGGCACTGCTGGAGGCGAACTCCACCCCGGTGAGCCCCCATTCTCTCCTTTTCTCCCCTCCCCCCCCCCCCCCCCCCGCTTCCTGCCATGGAATCATGGTGACTCAGACTCGGTCTCCGCCTGCAGGAGTTCTTACTTCCCCTAGATGTGAGCGAATAGGTTTGTGTGGACTCCAGTGCGCTGAGTCCTGAGTGGAAAAGGACAGAAGACAGACAACTGGTGCTTGGAGGGAAGAGAAAGAAGGAGGTGGCATGTGAGCTGGGGGCAAGGAACTGCCTTTTATGGAGCACCTATCGTATGCCCGGCTTGACGCGGGTAGTCCTCGCGGCTCCTCGCAGCAGTCCTTTGAGGAGGGATGGTTGTTCCTTCTCTGCAGATGATAAGATTGAGCTGCATTCATCCACACAACAAATATTTACCGAGTTCCTACTATGTGCCAGGCACCGTGCCAAAGGGCAGGGACCAAAGGGGAACTAAGTCAGGAGATGTAGGCCCTGCCCTCCTGGACTCAGCCTAGTGGGCAGCCCGGTGTGAAGCAACTAATCACAGTGCATGATTCTGTGGGGGTCGTGGTAACTGCTCTGACAGAGATGTGCTGTATGCATTCAATGTGTGACCACCTTGGTGGCCTGATCCTGGTGGGAGTTCAGACAAGGCTAAAGATGAGACCTGAAGGATAAACAGAAATCGACTGGGTGAAAGGGGTGGGATGGGGTGAAGGGAACAGCTTTCCAGGCAGAGGAACCGCATGAGCAAAGGCCCTGAGAAAGGTTATGACTTTAGCAAGTCCGAGAACAGAATGAAGGCTGGGGCAGCTGGAGCTTAGGGAGGGAGAACAGGAGAGGAGGGTTGGCAGGGCCAGGCATTATGGGCTGTGTTACTGACGTTGGTTTCTGCTAAGAATACCAGGAGGTCATTGAAAGCTTTTCAGCAGCGGGAGGAGATGAACAAATCAGACCAGATTTGTATTTTTTTAAAAAGATAGTCTGGCTGGTAGGTCGGGAATAGACAACAGAGAGTTAAGAGTAGATGCCAGGAGACCAGTTAGAAGGCTGGGACAGAGCCCTGGTGACTGGCTGGAGGTCTGGACTGAGCTGAAAAGGATAAGACATATTTACAAGGTAGAGTCAATGGAACTTAGTGATTGATGAAAGTGTGGGTTTCCACACAGGAGCCGCCCAAAGCCCGCAGCTCGAGGGTGGCCCAGCTTGGCCCCTGTGCCTTACTCCACATTCTGTGCTTGCTCCTTCTGTCTGTGGCATGGTGGAACCCAATCTCATCTAGAGAGAAAGTCTGCTGGCAAGCAGCAGAAAAGACCAGATTTGCATTTAGAACCCTTCTTGGGCATGCACCTGCTGAGGGCTGGGCATCGTGCTCAGTACCTTCCATTGCTTATATCATTTAACCTCCCCATAGCCTTGGTAGGGTTGGTACTTTTAGTCCCATTTTACAGATAGGGAAGCTGATGTTCAGAGAGGAAGTGACTTATCCAAAGCCTCATAGTCTTAAGTCAGTGGAAGAACCTGTACTGGAACTGAGGCCAGTGAGATTGGGAGGGAAGGGCGTTATCTGCAGAAAGAACTGCATGAGCAGAAGGTGGAGAAGTGAGGTGTGCGTGTGCGTGTGCGTGTGCGTGTGCGTGTGTAAGGGCCCAGAGTCTGGCCTGGCTTGATGATAATACATGGAGGGAAAGAAATGGGAGAGATGACCTCTGGGGAGCAATAAAGGGCATTAAGCAGGAAGGATTGTGGCCAGACTTTGGGGAGCCAACTCAGGCTTCTGGGTGGAGGTTGGATTAGAATCTGGGAGTGAGGAGGCTGGGGCAGCAGTCAGCAGGGTTGGCTAACTTGGCTCTGAGCTCCAAATCGTCCCCCCGCAGGGCAAATCAGTCCCACCCAAAAGAGGCGGAAGGAGGTGAGGGCTGACCGTTCTGTGCTCTGTGACTCTATGAAGCTACCGTGTCCCTTTCTCTGCCTGCGCACCTTCCCGCTACTCTGCTTACCACAGCTCCCTGCTCTGATGCTCTCTGCACCTCCCACTACCCTCCCTTCACACCACCCCTTTGGCCCCAGGCTTGCTCGAGTGGAATGTGTTTGTGCTTCTGTCTCTGTACCAGGGTCTGCCTGGCTCTGAGTGTTCATGCCTGTGTGTGGCTTCTCTCCGTCCCGTGCCTGTGTAGGAGTGACCTGCACTTTGTCCCTCTGCGTCCTGCAGATTTATACCCCCTTCTGGATGGAGGCCGTTCCAGGGAACACGGGGCCAGGGACACAGCCAGGGGCAAGGCTGGGAGGCCAGTGAAGGGGGCAGGTGGGTGGGAGGGCAGATCAGAATTGTTCTGTCCTCCCTGGAGACTGGGAGCCTCAGCAGCCTAAAAGAGGTGAAGGTGGGCTAATTCTGGAGAGACACTACTGATCCTTCTCCGTGTGACTTCGGCAAAGTCACTGCCCCCTCTGAGCCTCCCTCCATTACCAGGGGCTGAGGAGGTGGACAACTCTTTCCCATGCCCAGCTGGCAGAGGGCTCTGGGAGGGCCTGTCAAAAGCTCTGAGTTTCTCTAGATATAGAGGGCCTCTGACACCTCCCTCCCTCCCTCCCCCTTCTTGGGTTTCTGTGGCTTGAGCAGGCCCCAGCTGGAGCCACCGTCCCTCCCAGGAGCCGCCACGTTTGCCCCAAGGTCAGGTGTGTGACCCGCTCGTGGAGCCCCTGTAAGGTTGAAAGGCGGATCTGGGTAAGTGGGGCTCAGCCCTCCCTGCCTCCGTTCTGGCCTCGAGGCTGTGCCTCCAAAACTGGGCCCAGTCACATCCCTTCCCTGCTCACAAACATTCCATGGCTCCCTGTCACCCACAGGACACCACCCACAGCCCCATTTCCAAGGCCCTCAGGATCTGGCCTGGGCCAGTCTCGTCTCCACATCCCCCTCCTCCCCTGCGCTCCCGGTGCTCTGCTGTTTGCTCTGTTTCCAGCTGCACCAGACCTCTTCCCTCTTCCCTCTTCCCTCTTCCCAGGCTTTGCACGTGCCATTCTCTCTGTTGCGAAAACTCTTAGTTTCCTTATTCACCTGACAAACTGATGCTTAGCCCCTAAGAGCCACTTCAAAGGCTGCCCCCTCCTCAGGGAGGACTTCCCAGACCTCCACTCCCAGCCTGCTGCACTAATGCTTAGTATTGTCTTATTAGGCCTGGTCTCAAGTCCCTTTATTTTGGTCTCTATTCTCCCAGGAGACCTGGGACTTCCTCCAAGGTAACGACCAGGTCTGATCAGCTCTGCCCCTAAGGTGCCTAGCACAGTGCTGGGTATACAGCAGGTGCTCAATGAGTGCTCAGTGATAAGGACAGTCTGTTTTGATCCCTTATTCCTGGTGCATCGAGCTAGGGCACGAGTGGGTCTCAGGCAGTGTTTGTTCACCAAATGAGCGGATGAGTGAATGACTAAAGGGAGGAAGGAGGAGTGAAAACTCTCTGTTAATGGCATCACTACCATGTGTCATAATTTAGTCTATAACTGTCTCCATTCCCCACCTCAGAATCTCTGGGAAGCAGAAGTGGGGGGATGAATCCTCTCTCTGTCGCTAGTAATCAGCAGGGTATGGGGTAGGTGCAGGGCAGGCTTGTCTCAGAATGCCTGTCCTCTTACAGCCAACTCGGAACTCCTTCTCTGGCACCGTGGTGTTCGATGTGGTTCTGCCTTTGAATCACTTCAGGACTTAAAAAAAAACAAAATCCAAACATTCAGATCCTACCTCTGGATGCTGTAATTCTGTAGGTCTGGAGTGTGGCCTTGGAAATCTGTGGTTAAAAAAAAAACTTATTCAGGGGCGCCTGGGTGGCTCAGTCGTTGAGCGTCTGCCTTCGGCTCAGGTCATGATCCCAGGGTCCTGGGATCGAGCCCCGCATCGGGCTCCCTGCTCAGCAGGAAGTCTGCTTCTCCCTCTCCCACCCCCTGCTTGTGTTCCGTCTCTCGCTGTGTCTTTCTCTGTCAAATAGGGGAATGAAATCTTTGAAAAATACAAAAAAAAAAAAAACCCACAAAAACTTATTCAGGTAATTCTGATGTGCAGAACCACTGAACCCAGAAGTGCCAGGCCCACCTAGGTCCAGTTGCATAGACGTGGCTCAGCTGGATTCTCCTTGTGCCTTAGAATGCGCATTGTAGGAAGGACTGTTCCCATTTGCGATGTGAAAACCGAGGTTCTGAGAGGTGATATAACTTGACCAGGTCGCTTGATTCATCAGTGGCAGGACTAGGACTTCTCTCCCAGCATTCTGAGACCTCCCCCTTGCCCAAATGAGGATATAAGTTTGTTTAAAGTGGAGATGCCTAAAAATGGGATTTAAAAAGCTGTAAGCCAAGTAACAACAGCTTTTCTGAGGGAAGGGATCTATTTGTATGTGACCTCCTGATTGGGTGACCCTGTGCTTGCAAAAGAGGCTGGGCTTGCAGAGAGGAAGAGGATCCGAAATCAAGCCCTTAGGTTCTATCCATGAGGTCGCTGGAGGATCCCCTGCCCTGTTGCCAGGTGACCCACATGAGTTTACCTCTGGGCCTCCCAGACCAGAGGGTAGAAACAGGTGCCACAAGGGGTATGAGGTGGTATTTTCCACTCTCTCTCAGGCCCGACAGGGCCACTGGCTCACTGTGCAGCTGCTGGGCAGGTGCAGGCTCTAGACCTCAAGTTCTCTACAAATAAAAGTGGGGATCTGAGTGCTTGGCTCTCTCTAGGCCCTTCTAGGCATGGAGCTCAGTTCCTGGCCACCCTCCACCAGAAAGCCTGATTGGATCACCTTTAGGGGAGAGCACAGTGAGGGAAGTCACTTGAGACTGAGCATTGCTTGTCTGAGCCTCCTGCATTACCCTGGGACTGGTCATTGTCCCTAACTTGAGGTTGGACTTAGAGCTGGGTGACTCACTGGTATTTGGCTCACTTGAGATAAATTCAATCCATTAGGCACCTATCATGTTCCATTGAGGCCTGATTAGACCCCACTTCATGGGGTGGGGGTCTTCAAGTCTGATGGGAGAGATACACACTCACAGGGATATGAACAATGACACTATAGAGTGATTGGTGCTGTGATAAGGGGAGTCTAAGGGCCCCAGATGGGACCCCATCAGAACCTGAGGTTCAGGGAGGGTGATACTTGGGTTCAGTCTGAAAGATAAATTAGGTAGTTTGATGAAAAATGGGGAGAAAGGCAACCCCATCAAAGAGAAATGGCATGGAGATTTGAAATCACAGGTGTCCTTGGAGAACTCCCCTTTATAGCCAAACTTTTTTTTTATTTTATTCATTTGAGAGAGAGAGAGAGCACAAGTGGGGGTGGGCAGAGGGAGAGAGACGAGCAGACTCCCTGCTGAGCGGGGAACCTGATGTGGGGCTCAATCCCAGGACCCCAAGATCATGACCTGAGCCGAAGTCAGATGCTTAACCGACTGAGCCACCCAGGTGCCCCCTACAGCCAAACTTCTTGAAAGAGATGTCATGACATGTTGATTCCATCCTTCACCTCTCAATCATTCTTCAGCTCTCCATGGTCTGGATTCTTACCTCAGCCACTCCTCTGAAAAATGTTTTTTCAAGGTCACCCACAACTTCCAAGTTGCCAAAACCAATGGCTTATTCTCTTGGCACTGGCCAAAAAGATGGACAGAAGAGCATATTTAGAAGTTAAAATCATGAGACCTGCCTGGTAGCTGATGTGATGTAGAAGACAAGTGTGTGAAGTCAAGAGGTGCCAACCTGATGTCCTGGTTTGAGTGCATGGTGGTGGCATTTAGAGAAAAGCATTTATAGAAGAGCGAGTTTGGGAGATGGAAGGGTGATGACATCACTTTGAGATTGGAGTTTAAGACACCTGGACTTCTAATGGGAGTTGGACCATTCACGTGTGACACCCAGTTAGAGATATAAAGTGGGGGGGGACTAAGAAGAAGGGGCCAGGAGAAAAGGGGATCCTGCCCCCTCTCCAGGTCTGCTCCCCCGTGGATAAAATGAGGGGCTTGGATTAGGAGCTTCCATTTAATTCAGCATATATTTATTGGTTCTTGCTATTCATTAGGCCTTGCATGTAACAGAAATTAATCAGAGTCCTTGCTTATAAGTAGCTCACATTTGGGGTGCAGGCAGGAAAGGCCAGGAAGAAAGATAGGAACAGAAGGCCCAAGCAGAGTCCATAGAGAACTCAGGAAGAAAGGATTCTTTCTGAAATCAGAAGGGCTTCCTGGAGTGGGTGACTTTTGAGTTAGGCTTTGAGGGGTTGATAAAATTCTAATGGAGAGACTGCATGCCTCCCTCCCAGAGACAGCAATGACCATTCTTCTCGGAGCCCCCGTCCCCAGCTCTGTGGTAATGTGACGATAATGTCTGCAGTAATGACTAGAGGAAGTAACACAATATGGTCACTTCCCTCAGGACCTGGTACATGATGGATGCTCGATAATACTTTACTTTCCCTCCCTACCCTTCCTTTCCTTTCCTTCCTCCCCAACCTGCTTTTACTTCTGGGCCTGGGGCTTGGCCAGGTGCCCCACCCCATGACTAGGAGAATAGAGAAATCCATTGGATTTCTCCAAATGGGACCGTTGGAGTGGCCAGCAAATAATAGACTGTGTAGGGAAGTTGGGAGCCATGGAGAATTTTTGATCAGGGGAGTCCTAGCTAGGAGGTCAGGGCAGGAAAATGGGATCACTGGGAGCTCTGGATGTAGGGGCTAAGGTTTTAGAGGACAAGGACCATGGACCATGTGGGGAGGCAGGGCCTTTTTCCAGGAGCTTGCTGGTTCCTAGGGAACCATTTCAAAACTTGGGGAAGTGGTTTGGTGGGCCCAGAAGGACCTAAGCCGGGTGTGTTGGGTAGGAGACCAAACCTGGGCCAGAGAGTTCCCGGGCAGCTAACCCAGTGGAGCTCCCCAGGTGCGTGTCTACAGCCCGTACCAGGACTACTATGAGGTGGTACCCCCCAACGCGCACGAAGCCACATATATCCGCAGCTACTACGGACCGCCCTATGCAGGTAAGTCTCCCGCCTGGTCCGCCCCCTGCCCCTGTACGGCGCCAGGCCCCACTCTTGTAGTGACCACGGATTTTCCCAGGCGGGACCCTCCACTGAGCCCTCCCCATCCGGAGACTCTTAGACCAGCGGCCCTCCACGCTCTATAGAGCTGACCTCTCCTCTCAAGGGCGGCCCCTTTTCACTGGCTGTCCTGCAAGACCCGTTTCTGAGCTGGTGGCGACCCCTGGTGGCTAGATGCGGGAACGGCCACCTCCTCCCGCCCCAAGGGCTGGCGGTTGGGAACGCCCATCCTCTGGTGTGGCCTGGAGGTTCTTAGAGATCCCGGAGTTTCCGCGCTGTTGCACCCTAGATGCACAGCCCCAGAACGTCCATAGCAGATTCAAGCTTGTAAGCCCTGGGGAGAGAGCGCAAGTCCTTCCCGCATCAAGGCCTCAGTTTCTCCAACTGAGATGTAGGAGAGTGGGCTCAGCCCCTTGTCCTGGGTTGGGCATGAGTCTAGGGGAGGAGAGGGACGAAGATCTCTCTGTTCTCAAGTCCCCAGCCCTCACGGCTCTCTCCACAGGCCCCGGCGTGACACACGTGGTAGTGCGGGAGGATCCCTGCTACAGTGCTGGCGCTCCACTGGCTATGGGCATGCTTGCCGGGGCTGCCACAGGTGCAGCACTGGGCTCGCTCATGTGGTCGCCCTGCTGGTTCTGAGCCCTGGGACTCGGAGCGTGGACCCTGTGCATAGACCAACAGACCCCTGTTCTTACTTGACCCGGCCCTCCACTATCTAAGCCCTGCCATACTTTGGCTCCTTCTCCATTAGCCGCTTCTGGACTTGGATCATCCATCCCACTCCCCCACCCTCTATACTGGAAGAAGCTATCATCCCAGGCACAAACATAGTCAAAATCCTCATATCTACTACCAGACACCCCAGAATTTTGTTATATATGGACACGTTTCCCCCCAAATATACCAGGACACAGAAAACACAGCTCAATGTGACTTAAAGTTCCCCTGTGCTGGAGACACAGGAGTCAGGTTCTTTCCTCCAGCTGCTCCAGGGTTGGTGGGAAAAACGGAAGTAAACAAACACTTGACAAAGCAGAGTTATCCGTCCTTTGACACATGAGGGTAAAGAGCAGAAGAAGGTAGGCTAGGAGTAGGGTTGTTGGCAAGAGTGCAGAGCAGTGAATATCATGGCATGTCCAAGGAATTAAGAGTTCATTTAGGCTGGGGTGAGGACTGGGATCAGATCATGATCATCTGATCAGCTCTTTAGCTCCAGGCTAAAGAGCTTGCCGGGTAAAGGCGAGATGTGAGCTTTTTGGAAGGAAGTTTCATGAATGTGCCTATAATGAATATATTGCCTGTTTTGTTAATACTGACACATGCTCAAATCCAAAACACTCTCTGAAGTTAGCCCCATCCTTTCCACTACCACCTTCCTGGGTCCCCTGTTCGTTCAGTGCTCAGAAAACATCTGTTCCCCATGTTAGGGTGCCTGGGGCAGCAACTGAGCTGAACCTGGGGTCCCCTTGCTGGGGGACAGATGAGCTCTGTTTGAGACCTCCAGCCCTAGGATGGTGCCTCCATCAGGAAATGCATTCCTGGTTCCCAGGAACTTGGACCTCTGTCCATAACTATGGCTGTCACCATCTTGGGCTTTGTCTCTTCCTTCACTCTGGGGGAGATGGCAGTGTTCACCTCTCGGGCCTGATCCACTGGGAAGCCCCACATGTGCCTCCCTGTCGGGTGGCCCAGCAGTCTCTCCATTTGGCTCCCTTCCAATTTCTTTTCCCATCCTGTCCTAATAGAAATGCTAACATTCCTACCCAGTAGCCAGAGTAGCCTGCTAAAGTTCCCTTGTAGGCAGGGGCTCCGGTGGCCCTGCTGCAGAGACTAATAAAGATGTAATTGGCTCTAGCCCTGGCTCTGGCTTTTTTGTCCACCCCACCCCCACCCCTGCCCCATGGGCCTTATTTCCCTGGGACATATCAGTGACTCAGCACCTACTAGTGCCTTCTTTGGTGTAGTGGGAAGAGTGTGTGGATTCTGAGGGCAAGTAGAACTGGTGACAGCATGTTAACTGAGCAATTTGGAGGCAACTCACTTAACCTTTCTGGGTCTTGCTTTTCCCACCCATAAGGTGATGGGTTGAAGGTGTCCATCCCTGAGGGCTCAAAGGGAGAGGCTGTATCAGGGTCTCTGTCATCTGATCTGATGGGTGATCCAGGTTGTGCCCTGTCTGCTGAGAGTCTGGTGGTATAGAGGTCTTTTCCAGTACATTCCCATCCTCCTAGAGGTGAATCAATGAGTTAGTCTCATAGAAAGCAGGTGTCTAGGGAAGGAAACACAACCATCTTGCACCAGGCCTTTTGAGGCTGCAAGTAGCAGAAACCCCCTGCTCAAACGGATTTAAGCCAAAGAAGGAAAAGCACTGGGTTATATAACTGAGAAGTCCAGAGACTGTTTGATGCAGGGATTCAAACAGTGTCCCTTAGACTTTGTTTTCAAGTTTGGGGCATTGTTGCCAGAAGTAGGATGAATAGATGAGAAAGAAGTGGCAAAAACATAGGGTGTCTGCCCTAGCCATATCCCCAGAGACACCAACTTGGAGACATAAACACCAATGATTCAATGAAGTAAGGTAAGTGAGGAACATGGTACGGTGGGAGCTCTGAGGAGAGGTATCCAACTCTGCCAAGGAAATGGGAAAGCTCTGGGACAGGAAGTAGAAATTTAGGATGAGCCTTGAAGGATGAGTAGGAGTTTGCCAAGCAGGGAAGGGAAGGAGAGCTTTCCACACAGAACACATGGAAGAAATGGCATGAGCAATGGCCTTAGAAGACTTTGGTCTTGAGTACACTGTGAAGTTCAGTCTGATGTCACAGCAGATTGCATGGTGAGGAGGGATGGTAGATGAGGCCATATTATAGAGAACCTCCCACAGCTGGGTTAAGGGCTCTTTGTGCCCCTACAACTTCAGGGCTACCATTTATCATAATCCTAATGAGACCCTGGTTCTTTCCACTCACCCCACTGAACAGGGCAAGACAAATACAAATGGATGCTTCAGATGCAGTTTGCTTCAAAATCTCTCCACTAATAGGATCATAGCATGATTTTTTAATCTTCCAGCTATCCAGTAGACAATTATTAAATTATTCACACAAAAATTAAGACAAACATTCTCAGAAAACACAGTCTGACCTAGAGGTAGCTTATGGATCACATCTGGCTCACATATTCTTTTGTTTGGTCAACACAGTGTTTTTAAGAAGTTTTGAATTAAAATGTGGTACTACTACATGCCCACCTAAATAGCTAAAGGTGAAAAAGATAGACAACATTAAGTACTGATGTGGAGCAAATTGAAATCTCACGTGAGTGTAAATTGGCACAACTGCTTTGGAAACTAATCAGTAAAGACAAGGATATGCATACTTCATAATCCATGAATTATACTCCTCGGGTACACCAAACAGAAATGTGTACATATGTTTACCAAAAAGTAATAGGTACAAAAGTATAAAAGCAGCGGGGAAAAAAACCTCAAATTCTAGAATAGGTGGATTTATGGTATATTCTATTCACAAAATGGATATTCAATGAGAACTAATTACCCATAAGTATATGCAAAACTGGGAGTGAATCAAAAAAATAGAACAAGGGGAATGAAGGGGACATGGGAAAATAGAGTTATACTGTGGCAAGTTTTCTGAATTTTATGTGAAGTAGTACAATATTAAGTGTATGCTAATAAGTCAAGGATGCACACTGGAAAAAACAAGTGTTAGTGAGGATGTGAAGTAAAAGGAACCTTCATGCACTGCTGGTGGGAATGCAATCTAGCACAGCCACTATGGAAAACAGTATGGAGGTTCCTCAAAAAGTTAAAAATAGAGCTACCCTATGATCCAGTAATCACACCACTGGCTATTTACCCAAAGAATACAAAACACTATTTCTTTTTTTTTTTTAATTTTTTTTTCGATTTTATTTATTTGAGAGAGAGAGACAGAGATAGTGAGAGAGCACAAGTGGGGAGGAGAGGAAGAAGCAGGCTCCCCACAGAGCAGGGAGCCCGATGAGGGACTCAATCCCAGGACCCCGGGATCATGACCTAAGCCGAAGGCAGACGCTTAACCGACTGAGCCACCCAGGCGCCCTACAAAACACTATTTCAAAGGCATACATGTACCCCCATGTTTGTTGCGGCATTATTTCATACTTATATGAAATAGCCAAACTATGGAAGCAGCCCAAGGGTCCACTGATAGACAAATGGATATTGAAGATGTGGCATATATACACAATGGAATATTACTCAGCCATAAAAAGAATGAAATATTGCCATTTGCAACGACATGGATGGATCTAGAGAGTATAATGCTAAGTGAAATAAGTCAGAGAAAGAAAAATACCATAGGATTTCACTCATATGTGGAATTTAAGAAACCAAACAAAGAAAGAGACAAACCAAACACCAGACTCTTAACTATAGAAAACAAACTGATGGTTATCAGAGGGGAGGCAGGTGGGGTGGTGGGTGAAATAAATGATGGGGACTAAGGAGTACACTTATCATGATGAGCACTGAGTAATGTATTGAATTGTTGAATCACTATGTGTACACCTGAAACTAATATAACACTGTATGCTAACTATATTGGAATTAAAATTAAAAACTTTATAAAAAAAAAGATGCACATTGCAATCCTACAGCAACCACTGAAAATATAATGCAAAGAGGGTAAGTAAAAATGCCAGTACAGGAATTTAAAAACAGATGCAGCAAATAGATAACAAATACCAAAATGGCAGACCTAAATCCAAACATATTAATAATTACACTAAATGTAAGTGGACAGCAGTGCCTGTGTGGCTCAGTCATTAAGTGTCTGTCTGCTTCGGCTCAGGTCATGATCCCAGGGTCCTGGGATCAAGTCCCACATCGAGCTCCCTGCTCCGCAGGAAGCCTGCTCTCCCTCTCCCACTTCCCCTGCTTGTGTTCTCTCTCACTGTCTCTCGCTCTGTCAAAAAATAAAATCTTTAAAAAAAATTTTAAAAAATGTAAGTGGACAAAAAAAAAAAACACAAAGAGATTGTCAGAATGAGTTAGCAAGCAAGACCCAACTATATGCTGTGTACAAAAGATATACTTTAAGGGGCACCTGCGTGGCTCAGTCGGTTAAGCGTCTGCCTTTATTATGATCCCAAAGGTCCTGGGATCAAGTCCTGTTTCGGGTTCAGTGGGGAGCATCAGAAGGCTAGTATAGCTATTTTAATATCAGACAAAACAGACTTCAAGACAAAAATTATTAGAACTAAAGAGGCATTTCATAAAGACAAAGGATGACTATATCAGGAAGATGATAGTAGTGTCACATGAGAGATTTATAGCTGTAAATGCATACATTAAAAAAGAAGAAAGATCTCATATCAGTAACCTAACTGTACACCTAAAGGAATTTTAAAAAGAGCAAACTAAACCCAAAGCTGGTAGAAGGAATCAGGTACCTGGCTGGCTCAGTAGGTAGAGCATGCAACTCCTATCTTGAGGTCATGAGTTTGAACCCCACATTGGGTATAAAGATTACTTTTAAAAAAAAAAGTCCACTAAAAATATATTAAAAGAATTAAAGAAGACAGATATAACTAAAAAAAAAAAAAAGAAATGCTGGTGGAAGGAAATAATACAGACTGTGTGAGATAAATGAAATAAGAGTATAGAAAATAAAATGGAGAAGGAACAAGATGGCAGAGGAGTAGGAGACCTAAATTTTGTCTGGTCCCAGGAATTCAGCTAGATGGTTATCAAACCATTCTGAACACCTACAAACTCAACAGGAGATTGAAGAAAAGAATAGCAGCAATTCTATGAACAGAAAAGGACCACTTTCTGGAAGGTAGGACTTGCGGAGAAGTGAATCCAAGGCGATATTCAGGAGGCTAGACGGCGGGGGATGGGGCCTCCGTCAGCCGCTTCTGGCAAGTGATAGAGCCGCGGAGCACAAAATCAGAACTTTTAGAAGTATGCTCCACTGAGGGATGTCACTCCAGTGGCAAAGTGGGGGGTGGAACCCTCGCTGGGACAGTGTGGTCTCAGGACCCTGGAGTCCCAGAAAGACCAGGGGTGCCTGAGAGCAGCAGAGCTCCCAGGTATCGGAGTGGGGAAGCCGGCTGCAGAGACGGAGCCGAGGAGTGGGCTCTCAGCTCGGGGTTGCCATAAACTGTGATCCGCGGCACAGTCAGGCCACTGCTCTTCCAGCAGGGACCCAACAAGCAGCAGATCTGGGGAGACTCCCCTTCCTCCCCTGGGAGGAGCAGTGTGGGAGTGCACCACAGGAATCTGCCGGGTTTGGAGACTCCACATGGAGTCGGGTGCCAGAGATAGAAACACTCGGTCACAGGCCGGGTGAGCACGGAGTGCGGCCGGAGACCGGGGAGATGGGAGTGATTGACTGCTTTTCTCTGGGGGCGCACTGAGGAGTGGGGCCCCGAGCTCCTTTGGGGCCAGGGACCGGGAGGCCGCCATTTTCATTCTTGTCCTCCAAAACTGTATGGAAAGCTTGCAGGGAACAAAAGCTCCCAAGAGCAAACCCAAGCGGATTACCTAGCCTGGCCCCTGACGAGGGCAGTGCAATTCCACCTCTGGCAAAGACATTTGGGAATCACTGCAACAGGCCCCTCCCCCAGAAGATCAACAAGAACATCCAGCCAATCAATGAGAATGGCAAAACCCCAGCGCAAGGGGAATACAGCACATAGAATTCATGGTTTTTTTCCATTTATGCTTTCATCTTTTAAAGTTAATTTAAAAAAATTTTTTTTCTTTTCCTATTTTTTTAATTTTTCTTTTCTTTTTTTCAACTAACATCTTATCAATTACTCTTTGAAAATCTTTTTTAATTTTCATTTTT